ATATATTCGTATGTCCTGCATAATCGGTCAACATAATATTTATAGATATGTGCTGCCCAGTTCAGTTTTTTTATGCGATCGATTTTTATGCAAAGTGACAATCTTGTGCGATAACTTATAGGCGTCCGTTTTTTGATTTCTTCTAAACAAGTTTTTCAAAAATTCTTGCCTGATAGGGGAGGTACTGGCTCCCATTTTAACTCACATTAAAAATACAGACAAACAAACAAAGACATAAAAACTGCATATGAACTGCTTGTTTTTAACCAAGTAATACCGTGATCACCTCGGTTTCTATTGTCTTCCAAGGGTTTTACAAACTTCATGAGGGAAATTTAGAAGACAAAGGATTCTCTTGTATTTACTAAAAGTCCCTTGTAGAAATTAAATAGAGGGAAATTTAGTAAAAGACAAAAGAATTCTTTGTCTTATAAATTTCCCTCGTGTTATTCATGAGGAAAATTGGAGTTCCTTTGCCCTCTATACTTCCCTAATGCGGTGCACAACGCAAATATAGTGACTATATATAGATACCCCTTGAAAGAGATGCTACTGAACACAAGTGTCCTACACCATCTAGCACTAGCATAGCATGTATCTTGCGTGTGGGACATTTTTTATCTGATTGCATCCATCCATTATAATAAATAAATAAATAGAGTAAAACTACAGGCAGATAAATTGATTGATTGATCGATTGATATCAAGAATCAATTCATCAAGATCGAGTTTTGTTTATTTTCAGGCATTGTCAATATTGTCGGCACTGAAAAAAATCCGCGCTGTAAATTTGATGTAAAAACGATGTAAATGTGATGAAAGAAATATTTCCATAATGTTGGACACTTACAGACTATTTCCATCAAATTTACAACCTTTTGACATACATTGTAAATTTCATTTACATCATATTTAATTAAGGAATAAAAGACGAAATTCCGTGTTTGATACTCTGATMRAAACACGCGGGATGTAGGGAGAGCACGAGAGAAGCGTAGGAAACCACGACGCGTAGCGGAGTGGTTTCCAGCTTTTCGAGTGCTCTCCCTACATCCCAAGTGTCAGAGTATCAAACACGGAATTCCGTCTTTTATTTCTTTTCTAAAATTAAAAGAAAAAAAGAAATTTTGACGTGCGCGAGCGTGTTTTGATACTGCAATCAAACATGGTTTTCGACCAATCACAGCGCGTAGTATCCTAAATATTTTAGAATACATCATCATTTTTCCATAAATTCTACATACATTTCCATCAAATTTACACACTTTTTACATACACTGTAAATTTGATTTGCATCATTTCACATAAATTTTCAACCTTCAAGAGGCACGATTTTTTCTAAGGCGCAAGGTTGATGATTTCTAAGAAATTCATACTAGATAATAGGAGTGGTTAACAATGTACAATACTTTTAAGTCGATAAGTATTTAAAAATACTTATTAAACGAGTGAGCGTAGGGAACTGAAAGTGGGGGATTTTCAGCAAGAGAATAAGATAAAATTTGTATCTCCAAGCGACCATATAGTATTCTCTGGTTATCTTGATAATTATATATGAAAGGAAATTACGTTTTAAAAATAACTTTTATTTACCTTCAATATATAAGAGATACCACGAATGTGTTCTTTTCACTAGTGAAAATTAGATGTGTTTAATTTATTAGTAAAAATAACAACTTTAAGTAATGGAAAAATATAGGTATTTCATAGATAATTGCATGATAAGGTATAAAGATCTGTCATAAACCAGAAACATATAGAAAAACATGCGAATTATAAAAGAGCAATGACTTGTGAAGCGATATCATAAAGTACATTTACTATAACACACCACCTGCATTGGTTGTAAACAAGAGAGAATAGCCTTGGGCTACCTGTGCCATTGACAACAAGACAGATATTCTTTAATTTCAACCTGCTACACAAGTTTGGCATCTTCAACGTCCTTTGTATTTTGGAAGTATGTTGCTGATTATGCTTCAAATTTAGCTTCAGGTTTAAACAAATCAGCGAGAACGACTGAAGATTGCCTTGGATCGAAACGCGGTAACGACAACGAARTTCGCAGCGATGCAGCAAGATACGAATTCAACCGCGCTACCTGAACCAACTACAAGGTAATGCCGGCCTGTAAAGCAAACATTATCGCTGTAAAAGATTATATATGTATTCAGAATGGWTATTAAATTTTCTTTATTTACTTTTGAAGTCGATACAATGTTATTTTTGCCTCCGGTTGAACTTTATCATCTCACAGTTCTGACACACCGAGATATAGACTGAATCAATATTCTCGAACAATCGGATATTCTGCGTTTTATGTTKTTGGTATTAATAACATATTTGAGGTTTATATGAAGCGAGATACTTCGTGTGAAGAGCGATCAACTCGTTTCAAAATAGCTGCAATTATCTTGATTTGTTTAATAAGCCTCGCATCAAAGACGTTTTTATGGTATGGTTCCCTCGATCTTCGAAGCCCAACTTTCCCAAAACGCATACAATTTTGAATAGAGTAAACAAGTGAATTGTTTTGAAATAAAATCTAGATCGAGAGAAGACATTTTGATCGTCGTACGGCGTCAGTATGAATGCAATTGACAATTGYTATCAAAAATTTGCATTTTTATTTGTGGCTCAAATCCACCAGATGGTTGAATGATTGAATGGTAATTCACTGCTCTCTCGATGCTCTCGCAAACATTTTGACATTTGAAATATTTTTCCATAAGAAATCACACCAGAAATTAGAATATAATTTTTTTGAGAAACAAATCATATCACTCTATATAATTTATATAATTCGTAACATCTCGAATTTTTGCGTTGTGTGTTTACTTTTCAAAACAGGCGTGGGGCCCCTGTGTTTGTAYACAGGAAGCCCAAAATAGTAATAATAAATATAACAGCAACAACGCTGCGAATGTTGAATAAAAAGCGGTGGTAGCAACCAAAATAGCTTCAAGTACTATATTGTGTTATTTTATATTTCTTTTTAATACATCTGCCAGTGTTATTATTATTATTTTTTGTTTATTTGTTATCATAAATATAATTATGATTTTACTGTGGAATCAAGCTTATCGTTGAGCATCATGCAGCTTGTAATCATGATTTTTAAATTTTACTGTGGAATCAAGCTTATCGTTGAGCATCATGCAGCTTGTAATCATGATTTTTAAATCTTGTTTACAGTGTTTATATGTGATTTCTCTATAGTTTGGAAGTAAATAAAAGTGATTTTGAAACAATATAATTTGCTTTTATATATATAATAAAAAATATTTATTACATAGTTGCTTGGAATACTTACTCATTAGAGTTTTTTATACTCGAAAATAAAATCCATATCTCAGAGCACTTGTGAAATCAGTCCTCTATGCTAATATAAATGGGTTATTTATTTTGAACATCTTTGTGAACAACCTTATTTTGTAACTTGTAGAAATATTGCTACAAGTTGTGATATTGTCAAGCAAGGTTCAATGTACATGTCTTACAACCAATTTTCTCTTATTCCTGCGGTAAGTACAATAATTTACTGCTATTTACAAGAGCTTTGACAACCTTACAATCTTAAAAAAAATAAACATAGAAAATAAAAAAAAAATTATAAGAAATATGTGATCCACATTCTTGTGCCTAGATTAATTATTTTCAGTTTTCCAACTGAAAATCAGTTAAGGTTCTGGTTGGAGATGAATGAGTCTTTGATTTGATTGGCTCAAAAAATCCAATTCACAATTAGTATGCAAATCCCGGGGGGGGGGACTCCCTAATATCAAAGGGCGGGGGTCCCCGGTGTCCCTTTTAGGGTTTGAAATCGGTTTTTTGGTCCCGCTTAGGTTGATAATGACGAGAATTCCCACCAACTGAGTTTTGTGGTCCCTTTTAGGTTATACGACGTCCCTAAGCCGTCATTATGAGATCAAAAACCACAGCTGCTAATTAGATGATTGATTTTATTTTAATCAATTTCACGTCTTGTCACTTACTCCTTAATAGACGAGATTATTGGTCCCTTTTAGGGATGAAATTTCAGCACTGCCACGCCCATCATCTCCAAATACAGGTCCCTCTTAGGGGCCATTTTCATAATTTCTGCCGAGTTTCTGCCGAGGACCCCCGCCCTTTGCGGTGACCTAGATTATAGGACCTCCGGTTTAGCTCCAACCAGAACCTTCAATTTTCTGCTAGGAAACTGAGGTCTGGGGAAGACATTGGGTGAAATTATAGGGGATGTTTGTTTTAGTTAAGTATGGGTGCTATGTGAAGGAGGGCATAAGCACTGCTTTAGTTTTTCAAAATGAGTCTCCTTCAGAATTAATTCCTTTTATTGATGACTATTTCATTAAATTTCTACGTTGAATTTTTTGAAACCTAACAAAAGGGGGGTAGGGGGTGGCTAGCCCCCTCTCGGCCATTTATTTGCCCTTTGAACTTGCCTAAAGAGACCTTGACATTGATGGGATAAAGTGTCAGGATTTATTTTTTAATTAGGATTTATTTATACAATGAATACATTTTAAAGAAGCCAAATAGGAGAGAAATGCAATGTGCCAAATCTAAATGACATGTATAATGGTGGACCTTCTCAGCCATTAATATGTGGTCTATCCTGAGTATCAGGGTCTCGAGGGCCTGATACTCAGGTTATGTGTGATCAAGCAGTGGAGGCTAGTGAAAAGGCGCATGCAAAAGAATATTAAATAAATATGTATTTAATGATTCTGGTCATTTTTCACCTCTCGGTTTTCTTAGTATCCTAATCCTTCTGTAAGTTGTTCTTTCCATTCTAACTTCCCTCGTTTTTCTTCATTTATCTCCCCTTCCATTTTACACTTCATCAATCTCTTTTTCATTTGTCCATTCTTTCCCTCGCATTTTCTACACTACTTTCTTTTCTTCCTTTTCAAACCAGTTTTTTTTTATCTTTTTGGTTGCTTTTATAGGCATTGATAATAATTGTCTTCTTGTTCATGAGAAGAAGAGTAAAGGTTAGGAGAGATTGCTTGGATGGACGACCAGGGMTACAGATGTAAGTGTAAGATAATACAAATATTGTTATCATAACAGAGCAAAGGAGAGAACAGTGGACAGGAATCAATGATACAGGCACTTCATTTGAAGGATTGTTTTCAAAAAATACCCGAGTGTACTTTCCACACTCATATTTTAGTCACCTGATAACCTGGATATCGAATACGGTTTTTTGAATTCATCTTCTGATATTGTACCCTCAAAAATGTAAAAAAAAGCTTCATTCATCGTAGTGAAACAGCAATTCAAATGTATTGGCCTCGAGATGCACGACTGCTATGAGTGTGGTCTAGGAGGAGCGAGGGGTTCCTGGGAGAAATATGTCTGTTCTTATGTCCCAGCCAGCTGTAAGTCACAACTGGTTGCCAGCGACAAATTAAGGAAAAAATAACTCTCCATGCAAGAAATACTTTCTAAAAACTTTTTGCCGGGAAAATAAAAATTTCTCAAAAAAAGTTCTTAAAGAAAAAAATCAAATGAAAACCGTTTTTGACCATAAAAACGTTATATAAGCCTTTTTTGACCTTAGAAACGTTTGCAAGGAACAAAATTATTTTAAGGAAGGAAGGGCACCACATTTGCTGATGAGATGTCAACAATTTAGCTCAAAATTCCTTTCCCAAGAAAAAAATCGTACAAGAACAGTTTTTTTAGAAGAACAGACCCCGTCGGCTCCTCCTGGTGGTCTGCATACTGACGCCCCTAGGTCGTCTMTCACATATTGAAGGGATATGGACGCGATAGACGAATCGGGCCGGACGACTCCGCCCTGTAATAATAAAAGTAAAATTGCGCAAGGGATGTCTTTCCCATCATTCTTTTAAGTCTAGTCGGTTGGCGCATTTCTTCTTTTATTGTGGATTCCCGGTGCCAACTACACCCTTTTTCTCTTCTGTATTCGTTGATGCCGTTAAATGGCTTGTGTTCATTATTTTCAGCCCCGTGGATTTTTTAGGAGAAGAAGAAAATAGATTTTCGTATGCAATTGCTTATGGTGCTATGGCCATTGCTATCACAAACATGTTCTTTCAGTCAGGGACAAAAGTGGTGTTTGATGTTGTTGGTCATCCATACATAAAAGGTTAGTGTTTTAAAATTAGTTTAGTTTAATTAGCTTGATTTATCATTAGGGTACAAACACTAAAACTGTGCAACATAAATACCACTAAATACTGCTAAATCATGCTAATTCTATTGTTTTCTATTGTTTAATTAACACTATTTTGTAGTAAATAGTGGAAAGTGTTGCACACATTTAATGAGTGTACTCTATCATAATTTTTGTTATTATTATCATTATTATTAGTCTTTCAGAGTATCGTTACTGTGATATGTATTGGTACTATATATCTACCATTCTTCATGTGTCTAAGTACTGATGCMAAGCTGCTTGGTGCTGTCTTTGGTTCTATGTATACATTAGGACGGTAAAGTATTTCATTCAGAATTCTGTAGAGCATGAAAAACACCAAAAGCGTAAAAACGTAATAATCAAATAGTGGTTAAAGCGAAACCAGTGTATAGACTAGACAATATAAAATATGAATTTGCATCATACAGTACAATTTGGCGAAAAACTACGTAACCAATATGAGTTCTAGATAGTACTAGTATTGGTGGGTGTGGCATTTTATAACAAATAATTATACATTTCCGTTTTAGCTCCAAGTAAATTTCAAAACCAGGTTGACTTTTGATTTGGAAATGAAGAACACACTTTGAAATTTCAGGCTGCAGTGTAATGCGAATCCTGATAAAAATGAAAAGTTCAGCCTGATAGGTTCTTTTAAAAAGTTTTTTTTAGAAAAAGTTTGGGTTCTTGTACGCGGGGTTTTACTTGTTTAATTATACTTAAATTTTTCATTGTTTTAGTGTTGGCATCGTCTAAAGAAGCACATACTCTTGTTGGATGTGTTCAATTGTTTTCTTTTTTATTCTTGTTCAGAGGTATTGGTCTGACTCTTGTAACGCTCGTGTGTCCAGTCGACAAAGGTTCTGTAAGTAAATCATGATCACTTACTAGCTTTGTAAGTCTCTTTCACGGTTCCTATCGCCATCTTGAAAAGTAACTCGCATCAAAGCAATACGACCGATAAGATTGCACCAACTKKRAWKRWTWWWAWYYTYMAWWWT